CAACAAAAACACAAATCAGCACTATACGCCATGTTGACTCGCACACTTTGTCCATTGCTATGCATGCTCACCCTTGAGATGGGCTGTTTCACAAGATCACAAGAGTGTGAATAACCTCGTAATGTTTGCTTCATAAAAATGCTTGTCCCACACCATACCACCTATGGATGGCATGGGTAAAGCAAAAGGTGATCAATGACCTCCTTACCATGCCTGGACTGAATAACTTGGTATGTTCTGCTTTTCAAAATAGGGTTTTGTGATCACCAATTGCACTGTCTCGAATGTAGCAGTCCCACCGGACTATCCAATGCACTTCACCTTTCCAGTGAAGTACAAGAGTCCTTACCACTCACCAGTTCCAAGCCGCTGGGGTGGTTGACCATGGAGGCAACTTACTGAATGGGTTCCAAAAAGATGGCTATAATCATTCAGTTCAGAATAGGGTTGTGATATTCTGCCAATGTAGGAGGAGTAACAAGATCCTCCGGATGAGTGACACATGCCCATAGTGAGATGCCTAAATGCAGTTCACCCCTCCGATTGGGTGCCCTCCTCCTACCAGCGAGTGAGGTTTTGGAGATTAAGTGAACTAATCACATAAGCCCTCACACAGGTTTCGGGGCATCCATCTCTCCATCAATTCTGTCTTCTGTGTTGTGGGTCGCAGGTAGTCTACGTGGCCTATTTGTGCTTCTGTCCTGGGCATTCCTTTGTTCTAAAAATGATGAGGATGTTGCAAAGCTGTGTAAGTATTGGACTGGTTTCACAGTCGTGGGGATTGATTGCATGTTACAGACTTCCATCATATACCGAATGATACATTCCCGGGTTCCTAACTCAATGCTCATCGTATGATATTTCCTGGAGTCAAAATTATATGTACATTCATGATTTTAGGGCTTGAGGTGAAAACGGTATGATCCTCATCCTACCCTCGCATGGATGTCGGTACCCAGGGAGTGATAATTTGAATGATGATGATTTACCAAGTAAGGTCCAATGAGCCCTAGCCACCCTACACCATGGGAAACATACTCCATTACCCACTTTCATTACGTGGGATTGGGTGTATGTGATTGGGATCACATTATTGACCTATCCTCTCCCATGCAGATGTGCTCCCTTCATATTCTCTCATGATTTGATCCCACTTGTTCGTGATGAAAAGATACCTGTTTGAGAAGTGGTGCAGTGCCCCTCTGATCTGTTTCTCTCATTCCTAGGGGTATCCTTCAGACACTTTCAGGGGATACGCCTATTCTTCTCTGGCACTGGTCCCTCCTCCTTTTCAATTTGGGATTCAAGCTAATCTTGTGAGAGGAGAGAAGGTACTGTATCGGAAGTTATAATTTTCCGATACAAAAATGTATTTCCGATAGATACTTCCCTCCGCTCACACTTCCCACCCTTCCTCCCTACAATCTTCCAGTACTTCTGTCTTCTGCCTAACTTCGAAGTGATAGTTTGGTAGTGGCACATATCAGAATCCATGATAGTAGTGCTCTCCTATTGGTGGAGAGTTGACGCATGATGATTTGCATGAGAGACATGTTGGAACTTTGGCTTCTAACAGAGGGATGTGAAAGACCTGTGGCATGCATTTTGAAAAAAGTTCGCATATAGAGGGCAGCACTAAATGGGAAAAGCTAATCTTGTGAGTGGAGGGAAATACCTGTCAGAAATACATTTTCGTATAGGAAAATTATAACTTTCATCAGAAGCAACCCTTAGGTTTCTGTAAACATGGTAATATTTTCTGAAAAGCTCTAAAAAACAAAATTACATTAGTCATTTTTCTGATACAGTTACACTTCTAAAAGAGACAACCAAGAGTGGATCACAACAAAGAATTGCCCTTTAATTCCTGTTACAAAAATATAAATTCATTTATCCAAACAACAAGAAACAATCATTGTTTTTGATTTCAAATTCACATGAAATGTATCATTTGATAACTAGGTGGCACAAAACTTTTTAACACCATTATTTGACCTTTTGAGAACAAATATTGTTCTTACCCTTAGTAGGGACACATGTAATATTTCTATTATTAGCTATATCTACAGAATATGGATCTCTCATATGTTATCATAATGAAGGTGTACTCTATATCTATATAATTATTTTTACAAATTGTTCTATGTTCACTTACCCCTTACTTATACAGAAGGTTAAATATATTATATTAAGATGATTTTATAATTTCACCATGTTGTTCCAGTCCATGTTGCCATGTCTAATCATGCTCTGTCTGATGACTGTGCATCTTGACAATAGCCTTGCAGTATAGTTTCCATTGCAAAAAGCTCCATTTTAAAGCTGTCATGTTCAAATCACCTCACATCTTCCTGCATGCTTTCCATAATTAATCCATTTAGCATACAAGAATGACAGTTTCTAAGCACCCATTTCAACAGTCTGATCAAGCAGAAATCCTAGGTGTTGCATACAGTGATTTAACCAGTATTTGCTCTTATTGAATAGCATCAATATCTATTACATACTCCAGCTTCTTGAGGTATGTGACAGAAGTGAATGGGCAGTATGACTGAAAGCCTTTTTTTAGTGAACTAATACCCTGTTGGTCTTGTATTTCTATGTGGTATAAATGGTCCAGAACATTGTTCTGATAGTAAGCAGAGTTCACCTTGACCTTTGTATCCACTCTCCCGATCCCTAACTTGCTGCTGATGCAGTATCCACCAATTATCATGAATCACTTCAAAAAGTATCAAGACATGGCATTTACTAGTTAATAGAATTTTTTCCCCACATTTACCAGAACAAAATGGGAAGAGACTTGTACACAAACATTTTGTCTAGTGTCATTACATGCTGCCAATTGTTCCCTGGCTAGGTACTTTTCATACAGTTTTCTATAGTTGGTCTTCTTTTCCTAGGTATGTCATGCAAGCAATCTCTGTACATGTTACCTGTGTCACTTTTCTAGATGAGCATCATTCTTAATTTGATTATGTTGTGTACTGTTTTCAGGGGCATGTGGTCGGATTTTGCCTTTTTATGCTAATATCACATGATGCTAAATACTTTTTAATTAGGAGAATTTCATAAAATTTAGCAAACTTGTGCTTAAAAGTTGG